CCACTGGTCTGCAGCTCCACTTATGCTACACACCAAGTGTCCATATACATATGCACAACTGAGAGACATAATTAAGAGAATAAAATGAGAGCCACAGAGTAGAACAGATTTGTAATAGATAGATATAGATGTAGCTGTAGGTATTTATGTAAAGACAGACATATACATATAACCATCAAAAATCTTGCACCACAGGGAACACACATGTGCATGCACGCACACACACACACACACACACACACACACACAAAATCAAAAAAAAAAACAAAAGTCAATAATTATGTGGGGGAAAAAGTGACCAATCTCATCAGTAAGCAACGAGATGCAAATTAAAACCACATGAGACACTAGTTTCCACATACCAGAATGGCTAAAACCTAAAAGCATGACAATATTAATTATTGGCAAGGCTGTAGACCAAAAGAAATTATCTTGCACTACACTGTTAGGTACATTGGTACACCGGCACAACCACAGTGGAAAAGAGTTTGACAATGCATGATAATGGATCATACTCTATGACCCAGCAATTCCACTCCTGCATATATATATATACATACACACACCTGAAACAAACGCATGCTTATGTGCACCAAGTGACACGTGACAGAATGCTTTGGCAGCATTATTCAGATTAGTCAGAACCTAGAAACAACCAAAATATCTTTCAACAGTAAAAGTATAAATAAACTGTAGTGTTTTCTTACAGGTGAGTACTACGGAGCAATAAAAATGAAGAAACCACAACTGCACACAACATAGATGACTATCATACACATAATACTGAGGAAAATTGTGCCCAAAACAAAAGGTTACATACCAGGTAGTTCCACTTGAATAATTTTAAATGAGGCAAACTAAATCTTGCTGTTAGAAGTCAGATAACTAACTTGCAGGGAGAGTGGGCATAATGATTCGGACTGGCCAAGTAGAAGTTTCTTGGGTGTGAACAGTGTTCTACTTATTTTAATCTGGTTTGGGGGTTTAGCTGTTCACTTCACGGTAACTCACCCACTGTACATTTTTTTGGTGCACCTTACTTTTTTATGTGTTATACTTACCAAAGTAATTTTGAAACTAAATGGATCAGAGACCTCAGGACTGGATTATCTGAGAAAAGGAGAGGTACTCCTCCCCTCGGCCCTTCCTTTCTTCTTCTTTGAACAAAGTTAATAGACCAGGAAATGTTTACAGTTTACCCTCAACCATAAGATACTGAGAATACCTATTATGTGCAGTACACTAAGATGGGAACTGCTTGCTGGAGCTAGAAGTATAAAAACGGGAATTATGTTAAAATGGGATTAGAGGTAGATGAAACAGATGAAGGTTCTAAATTAATAATAAGTTGTATACAAAGAGAAAGGGAAAGTTGTTCTTTAGTGAGAATGTCAACAATACAAATTACGGAGATTTTTCCTAGGGAGGGGAAGAAGGAAGAGAGGTTGAGGAGAGGATAGTGAAGAAGGCAGACAGGAAGGAAATAGGGGAAGGAAATGGGGAAGAAAGGTTAAAGATGAGAAGGAGGAAAGGAATGGAGGGAAGAAGGAAAGATGAACCAAAGAAAGGAAAAGACAGAAGAAAGAAACATGGTTAAATGATCCACACTGGTCACCTGGTATGAGCCAGATATTCACCCACATAATATTTAAACCTCACATCTCAACCTTCTAAGGTAGATACTATCTTTCTTACTTTATAAATGAAGAAGCTGATGCTCTGTTTATTTGATTCAAGGAAACATGCCTAGAAATGTCAACCCCACCTGCACCCAACTCCAAATCCTGTGCTCTAGGAAAACACTTAATTCTCACAAGGAGGATTCCCTTATGGAAAGTAAATACTTCTATTACACTTAGGTCTTGAAGGGAGTCACCCCAGAGGGTGTCTTAGCCTAATAAGAAGAAAATGATTGATTCTCTGAAACTTTAAATCTATAATACTGCAATTCTATGACACTGGGTCAGTTTTAGGAAATACTTATTGATATTACTGGCATCTTCTAATTATGCCCTAGTATTAAGGAGTATTTTATTATTTTATTGTACTTTCTTTCTTTGAGACAAGTCTCACTCTGTCACCCTGGCTGGAGAGAGTGGTGTGATTGTGGCTCACTGCAACCTCAAACTCCCAGGCTCAAGCAATCCTCTTGTCTCAGCCTCCCAAGTAGCTGGGACTACAGGCATGCAACACCAAGTCCAGCCTTTTTTTTTTTTTTTTTAATTTTTAGTATAAATGATGTCTTGCTTTGTTGCCCAGGCTGCTCTCAAACTCCCGGCCTTAAGCAATCCTCCTGCCTCAGCTCCCAAAATGCTGGGGTTACAGATGTAAGCCACCACGCCTGGCCTGTGAACATGTTAGAAGAATGTAGTGTCTATTTTCTGGAGGGAAACCAGTAGAACACCAGGAGAAGTTCTGTTAAATGACAAACAATGCTTTATCTTATGGGAGAATGGGCACAAAATTTATTCCATGGCCCAGTTCCTAATATTTGCCAACTGCCAGGAATGCCAAAGATAGCTATATGGGGTGGTATAGAAAATGCCAAGAAAAAACTCAAGATCATTAAGTTATCTGGATTTCTTCAAGCTAACCAGAGAGCAGTAGCAAAGTATCAAAGAGCAAGAGAGACTCTAAGAAAATCATCTCCTTCTAACAAAATTACATGTGAAAAACTGTGGTCTCTGCATGTATCACTTTTGGGGTTAAGTCAGAGTACTTGCAAAAAGTATTATTCGTTAATACTTTTTAAAATATTCATTAATATTTTCACTTAAGTTCAAAGTTATTTAGCACTTACTGTGAGTTGAAAGAAAAGCTGAGGGGATGGGAGAAGGAGATGGTAAAAGAGGAATTCACACATATTGAGGATGGGGTAGGAAACATGTCAGGCATTGCAAAGACACTTTATATAGCATAGCTCTGGACATTCATTATAGGTCCAAAAAAGGCATAAAAATTAAACCAAGCTACCTCCAAGAAATAATTAGAAGTGAAAAATTGATAAGGGGAAAATGGCTCAAGTTCTCCTCATTGATTTCCTGTGCAGAGTCAAACCTGACCGTTGGTTGGAAGTCAGTTTGGCTACTTCTTATTTCTCTTTGAGCAGTTGGGTTCTCCTGTCAGTGCCTTTCATGGTAGAATCGTTTTTGGCTCTAATTACAGCTGTCAGCGATTGAATGAGCTTGACACCCTGACTCCAGAAACGAGGAAATCCACACTCCATGCATATGCAGTGGGTTCCTTCATTAAAGCTGACTGACATATCAGACATGGTGCACTGTCACTGGTCTTTGTAAGAAAAACAAATGGCTACACAATCAAGTAGGAATCTCCCTGATCAGAAACACCCAGAGAGCCCAAGAATCAGTCTTCAACTCGGCCAGTACTTCTCTAAAGACCTATATTTGTATTACTGCAAAATGGTAGCTATAGTCAATCAGGTAAGAGCCAGAACTGTACACACATGCATGCATACACACACAAGCACACACATGCACATGCACACACCAGACTCAGACTCCTTCCCCAAGGCTCTAGCAGCCCTTTCCAAATCAACTTTGTTGGAGTACCAGGTGTTGAGAATCAAGTGGGATTCTTTGGCTATTAATAGTGAACTGGCTTTCCGAGATATACAAATTTCTTGGAGAGAAAAAGAGGAGAGAATTACAGTAATCAGAATCACCCACACCTCAACAAAAATTAGAGCAGAACTACAGCTTCTCAGAGTATTTCTGTAGTTAATATAATAAAATGACAGATTTGGAGTTGAAATGGATCATCGAGTCCAAGCCTGCCAATGAATTCAAAACTGTCCCAGAGTATGCCTAACACGGCCCATTCAGAATCCAGTTGACATTCCTAGTACGATGCATGCCTTGTTTAGTGTAAGACTACTTTCTGGAAATGAATGCACAGAATCGGTATTACGGGAAGTTGTTATGGCATGATCCCTATGAAGATGCATTCCCAACTTACAGCTTGTATTTTGTCATCAATATTTTTCCTCCTCTAACCCCAGCAAGTCATAACACCACTGCAGCCATAAAATCTTCCTGCTGTGCTTCTTCATACAATAGTGGCTCTTTTCCTCCTAGGCTATAAGGATATTATCAATGTCCCTCAAAAAGTCAAGCGACTTCTGACCATCCCTAACTGATCTTTAATGTGTTTCCTCAATGTGTTTCCTCCAAAAGTTCCTTAAATACCCAACGGAATGCTCTTCTATGGCAATGTATAGAACCTCCAGAACTACTACTTGCAATTTTTTAGTAACTCAGAACTGTTGATATTTACAATGGCAAAAATACAGATCCTAATGGATACTGACAACTAACAGAAATACTGACAAGTAGCAACTCTTCAAGGGAGTTGAGAACAGCAAGAGGGTGCTATAACTAGGTGAGAATATAAAATGTGAAACTGTGTTTACTCTACTGATCTTGGAGTAGACAGATATACATTAACTTTTTTAAGTAGATAAGATTGTATTATTTGATTCTCTGATATATTTTTCTTCAATATAAAAACTACTGGGAGGGGAGACAACATTATCTGCCCTGTACAGGGCAGTACTAATGGACGGTCATAGGCAGCTAAGACTATCACCAAACCCCTAGAACAGCCCAACCCCGGAGTCAGATGGCCCTGTTCCCTGTTTACTTGCTCCAAGGCAAGTATCACACGTGGACATTACTGCTTCCGGCACTTTTTGGTGCATTTTGTCCTTCTCCCTGGCACCTGGTGGGTGGTGAATCAGCAGTTCTTGAACGAATGAGTGTCTATTACATTAATTCGTGCCTCAACGAATGAATGAATGGATGAACACAGACCGGGAGCCTGACCCACTTCCCTCTTCCCTCCCGGGCCCCACCGCCCCAGGCTTGGGCGAACCTCAGGTGAGCGCCTGCTCGCCGCTTCCGCAAACCTTCGCCTACGGCGGCCGGGAGGCATCAGGAGCACGGTCAGGGCGGAAAAGCCGATCCCCGAGCACGCAGGCGCGGCCCCGAAGCTTCCGGGGGCCACTTCCTCCTTTGTCTCCTAGCTACGGCTGGTAGCGTTGTTGACATCCCGGGAGTCTCTGCCGCCGGCCTGAGCCCAGAGTTTCGCGGCCTCCGCGATGGTAAATCTAGCGTCTAGACGCCCCGGCGCTCGAAGGACGCCTACCGGCAAGGACCTTCGCTGCCCGGCTCCTGGGGCCCCCCAAGGCACGGACAGTCCAGGGGCCGCGGCGGAGACTGGTGGCTCCAGGATTTTCTTGGAGGGGCGAGAGGGAGACCTTGGAAAGGGGGAGGAAGATGTCTAGATGAGTGGAAGCTGTCTTGGGAATTGATTTCGCGGGGGTGGTACATAGGGAGGAGTGATGTTGAGAAAGGAAAGAGAGAGATCGAGAGGATGAAGAATGCTCAGGGGAGTGAGAAATCCGGGGAGCCAGGAAAGTTTCCAAAGACAGGGTGGGAGGCCGAGATGGAAAGGAAAAAAATCAGACCCTTAGAGAGAAGGAAGAAGTGGGACAGGGAATGCAAGGGTGAGAAGGGAAGATACTGAAAAAGAAGAAAGGGAAATAAAGAAAAAGGAAGTAAGTGATGGGAGACTCGCCCCCTTCCTCCCCCCCGCCAAAAAAAAAGAAGAAAAAAAAAAGTAGAAACTGTGGAAAGCAAAGGTCGTTAAGAGAGGAATGAAACGGGGATTGGAGATGGAGATTAACAAATTATACTAGGAGCACTCAGAAGTCATGAGACGAGAAACAACTGGGTGGAGAAATGGAAAGGCCAGGGAAAGAAAAGAAAGGAGTTTGGGAGATAAGTAACAGGGAGAAAGATAAATGAGGACACAGTGGCTTCAAGAAGCTGTGGACATCGTCTTAAAGATTGCCCAAAATGCAGTAAATTATTGATCCCCTGTTCAGCGTTTACGGTTTAGTGCAGTGTTTCTCAAAGTGAGATGCAAACATTCGTTGCTACATAAGATGGCCCAGAAATGCTAAATAAGAATGAATCACATCGTGAGAAAGTTATTCCTCTTCCTTTTTGTTCAACCTTCAGACTACATACAGGAGAAAATTTCTGTTACTATTAGGTCCTTAATACCACTGTCATTTGGAAGTTTCCATTTTTCATCTAAAGAGCAGGCCTCAGGATCAGAGCTTTCATTGCAGTAGAATTTAATGATATGCTGTCTCTTCATTTTGTTCATTTTGTTTGTTTTACAGTTATTTCTATTTATGAGGAATAGCATCAGGTTTCCATCTGTGGTAGTGATAATGGTTTACTTTTAAAATGCATTTATTTAAACTTTTAGCAGTGAGATAATTTAAAGAATACTTAGATAAATAATATACATGGCATTCATAATGGTAAGAATAATGAATCTAGTATAAAAATGCCTAAAGTTAAGAAAACATTGGCTATGATGCTGAAATAGAGAAAATAAGTGCTCATGCTCATACCAAGTGCAAAGGAAAACTATCTTGAAGTAACATAATGTTCACCTGTGCAATATTGAGGAAAAAAGAATATAGCAAACCCTCATCAAGAGAATTTGCAGAATACTGTTTGAACTCAGAATATCCAGAGATTGCTCAGTCATGAACAATTTGCAGGTTTGGAAAAGATAGTTCTTGACTTTGACTTTTCTAGAGGGGAAGAAAACGTACAATACAGTCTACACATAAGATTCCAAATGAGTTTAAAACACAATAATAGATTCCAGAATAATCATTCATAGTTGAACATTCAGCTTGCACTGATATGGAAGCTATAGTTATCAAGAAAATCCTAGAATCCTGGAATACTTTGTTTTTTATAGAATATCCTTTAAATTTAATCATCTGAACTGATTAGGTCACAGTAATGAAAATAAGATTTCTCAATAAGGACTACTTTTAGACATAGGGAGGCCATGATATAGCTCTATAAATATCTAAAGCACTATAATGTAGAAAAGGAATTTTCATTTGAATACAGCAGGGTCAATGAATGAAAGATAATCTGGGACAAATTTCCATGCAATGTAAAGAATAATTTTCTAGTAAATGGAAACAGATAAATATGGAGTGAACTCCTGTGAGGCAGTAAGCTGTCTTACTGAGATTTATCAGGATTGTAACCACGAGGTCTTATATAGGTATATTTATGTGGGACTTGACAATTTCAAAGCTGTCTTTTAAAAATCTGAGATTATCACACTCGGCACCTTAGGTTATGGAGATAGGGGAGTAGGTATCTTTCCAAACGTTATTCTCCTTAGGGTTGGAGTTACCACGGGGCCCTTTTGGTTAATTATCTTCCTGGTCTCTTTCAGGCAGAAGTGGAAGAAACCTTAAAGAGGATCCAGAGCCATAAAGGGGTTATTGGAACTATGGTTGTAAATGCAGAAGGTAAATATATCACAGGCTATCTTCTTGACATGCAGAAGCCAACCAGGAACCTGTTTGCTGTGTTAGTCCGTATATATATATAAAAAACACTCTGCTAAGATCTGGGGACATAAATATGAAGAAGACATGTCTAAAAATGTCTATATACTCCTAAGAAGCACTATACATTGTTTACTTTTTAAGGCTTTGGTAATTCTCTTCCAATATTTCAGAAGTGCCAAAAAACCTGTCATATAGAAGATAGGGAGAGTATCATTGATGGTAGTTTGTTTTTGTTTCAACATTATTAACCATACAGAATTTCAGTCTTTAAGTGGAACGTGTTCCTTGAACATATTTTATTTAAAAATCTTTGAGAATTAATGATATCATTTATAATGTACTCTTTGTGGATGTAGTATAAGAAGAGCCTATACATTTCCAACTATGAAATCTGTAGACTTACCAAAAACTTGCTCTTGCTGCACAATCCTTGTTAAGAAGCCACATCGCATTTACTTTGGCATGTTACTTTGGCACATTACTTTGGCACATTGCTCCATGCTCAGCTATGGTGGCAACCTCTTAAGAGTTCCTGCTGGTTTCATTGCTAATTCAGACACTTGTAAGGACAAGGGGTGCCAGAAATTCCAGAGCATTAGTTAAAATAAGAGTAGCTACTTTACATAATTTGTGGAGCAACCATGGAATTGGTCCATTACCAACTCAGTGCCTTGGAAAAATCCATCAGTAAATACTTATTGAGCAACTACCAACTGAAAGTCTGCTTAAATTCTGAACTACAACTCCTTACCACTAAGAATGCACAATAACCTATTTTACTGGTGGTTTTGATCATTAAATGAGACAATAATTGTTGAGTGCTTGGCATAATACCCAACACTTAATAGTAATTAAATAGTTATGAAAATGTCGGGATTTTTAATTCATTTATACAGATAAAGCATTTGATTTGTTTTATAACCAGTAACTCAAGGCCAAACAAATGAGAGAGATAATAGAACATAATAAATTTTCGAGCTTGAATAATCAGGGGAAGAGAAGATTTAAGATCTGCCTTACAGGTAAGTCAAGAACTATGCAGAATATTTCCAGGAAGCATTTCAGCCCTAGTACATGGATCTGGTTGCACTGATTTTATTTCCAGGTATTTGCATACACTCTGCCATGGCTCCGAAGATGAGCCGTCCATGTGATTTCATAGAGGTGGTTCATTAGTTTCCTTTGGCTGCAGTAACAAACTACAACACGCCTGGTAACTTAAAACAACAGAAACGTATTCTATTCCAGTTCTGGAGGTTAGAAGTTGAAATCAAGATATCCGCAGGCTCATGCTTCCTCTGAAGACACTATGGAAGGATCATTCCTTACCTCTTCCTAGCTTCTAGTAGTTGTCAATCTTTAGTGTTCCTTGGCCTATAGACACATCACTCCAATCTCCACCTCCATCATGATGTGGCATTCTCATCTTTCTGTCTCTTGTCTGTTTCATTGTAAGAACCCCAGTTATTGGATTAGGGCCTACGCGAATCCAGTGTGACCTCATCTTAACTAATTACATCTGCAAAGACCCTGTTTCCAAATAAGGCCACCTTCTGAGGTTTATATTGGACTTGAATTTGGGGATCTGGGGGGTCTAGGGAGACACTCTTCAACCCTGTACAGGTACATTCACCTGTGACACCCAGAACCACTCATCTAATGTTATTCTTTGGAAGATCTTGGTCTAAAGTAGGTAATCCTGGTGATATGCGCCAAACGTCTGAAAAATATTCACCCCCTTTGATCTACAATTTTACTCCTAGCAATTTATCCTAAAGAGTGATGATGAAAATATTTAGGTATGAGGATACTCACTGAGGCATCATATGTAATAGCAATAAATAAATAAATAGAACAAGTAAGTAAATAAATGTATCCTAACAGTGCAGGAATTTTTAAAGTAACTATATAATATTTACTTGATGAACATTACTCTATTTAAAAGGTTGAAGACTATTTAGGGTCTTGGGAAACTACTCACAGTATTAGATGAAAAAAGCAGAGAACAAAGCGGTCACCAGCGCGTTCTAATCCTATCTATGGTCAGGTGCACACATACACTTCAAAAAATAGAGAAGGAAGAGTAGGGATATGTTACAGTGATCACCCTGAGTAGTGAGACGAAAAGTGATTTTCACTTTATTTTCCTGAGGTTCCTCAATTAACACTTCTCTTATCCGAAGGCAACAAAATATTATTTTCAATACCCATTAACTTCTAATTAACCTCTACTAGGATAAGTTTATATTAGAATTCAGGACACTTTTCAAGGTTTCTGGGTACTTAAGAGTTTTTACCTGAAAGCCAAATTAACCTGTTTTCCCTAAAATATAAATAAGGGACTTATTTTTATGGTTGGATTATTAATAACCAGAGTATATGACAAGGATGTTTATTAATGGCATATGGTGTAAACTATGTGACCAGAATGTAATAAAATACTCAGTTTCAACAACCTACTCAATTTTAGATGAAAGCGTCATTTATTACAGTGTAGCTTTGTAGCTTTTCAGCTTTGGGAAGTCCCATGAAATTTAATACCAAAATATTTAGCTAAGATGATGTTTTATGTATTACTGTTTTCTACTAGCAGTTGTGGTCTACTAATTCTAGGCAAATCATTTTAGCATTTTCAGATTATATTTGTGGTTAGGTCAGACTTCTACCATGCTTATTCATTTAGATATCATCATATGCCATGTTAAATATAGTCCTTCGGTTTCACTGTTACTGAAATATAGACTTCCTATTGAAGACAGTAAAGTAGTCTTCCCAGTTTAGCCCAATGCTACATATTTTAATTAGAGTAGATTTTTGTTAGCATTGGTTTCTCATTTATAAAACCATTCGTTGTTTATAATATTGCAACACTGATCATTGAATTAGATACTGGCAAATATGTATGTTTGTACCCCAGGCAGTCAGATCTGTCATATTTTCTTATGTACATAAGTCTGATTTCTACAGGCTCTTAATTTTAAATATTCCTGACATTTCTAACAATCTATCATTTGAGTTTCATTAGATTGTAACAGCCATCCAGCCAATTCCTTTTATTTTGAAATACAATCTATCAACCAAAGCACAAATGTGCAGTTGAAGATGACAAATTGAAATAACGGGTGCTGGCTTACTAGGATCATAGAGAGTAGTAAAGTAGTGCCATCAAATTTTAGAATACATATGCTCTTTGTTCTAGGAGCTTCATTTTAGGAAATTATCCCACACATATATACAAATGTGAAATGAGATGACCAAGGACATATTAAGTAGCCTTGTTTACAAAAGTCAAAGATTGAGAACAGCCTAAATGCTCATCAGTAGGACATATTAAGTATATTACAAAACATCTATTCAACAAGACTATTATTCAGTCACTAATATGTGTGACTTATGTGTACAGAATCAGACAGTTTCCAAAGAGTATTAAATTTAAAAATCAAGGTACGAAATAGAGAATGGTACCATTAAAATGAAAATTACAAACACAAACACAAACATTCTTGAATAGACCTAGAATGTCTCTAGAAGGCTCTAAGAAACCAGTAGTTGTTTCTCAGAAGGGAAGTGGGTAAATTTTATACCATATGCTAAAATTACTTCTCAATAAATTATTTTTTAATTACCTCACATGGTGCCAAGCAAGAGTTCAATAAATATTTGTTGATTGATTTTTTCCAAGTGTGTATGGCAGATATGAAAAACTCCACGTGTTTCCACTATGCACACTTATTATTCAAAAAGGCTAGCTGTTTTATTTATTGACTTGGATCATGAACAGACTAACTAAATAGACCTGAGCATCTGATTCATAATCCTGTCACCTACATTTTAAATAATTTATTCTGGTTGTATTTCTTGTTTTGCTACTGAGCATTGCACCCTTAGTAGGTAGTCACTACTTAGGATGCAAAATAAAACTGCTTGTCAAAAAGTTCCCATCAAAGGTTGCGTGTTGCCACATTTCCATTTCCTGCTTGTTAAAGATCCATGCTTTGTGACCTTCAGGTATGCAAGACAGCTGACTGCCTTCCAGGGAAAAAGTGGCCAGCAAATCATACTAAAAGATTAGCAAGGTTTTTATGATGCTTTATTTATTGAATAGGTTTTCCTGTAAATATTATCCTCATACTGTTTAGCAAAACATTCTGGACACAGCAGTTATCTTAGAAGAAAGAGAAATCAGTCTTTTCAAAGTCAAAATTGATGGTCTTCAAGATTTTTATGAAAACCTGGTGAAATCCTAAGTTTGTAACACTCTTCTACTCTTGAAAGTGCTCTTCTTGTTTAATAGTTTCTGGAGCTACATTCTCTGAAGGAAACCAGGAGCCATGTTAGGCTCATTCTTGAGTGCCCTTAATACAGATACCTAAGGAATTTGATAGCGATCCCAAATTCACCTTCATATCTCCTCCTAAAATAAAAGCACATTGCAAATCAAATCCCTGGAATTCTCTGGCTATCTAGTTCTTCTCAAAATAATATGAAGGCGGCCGGGTGCAGTGGCTCAAGCCTGTAATCCCAGCACTTTGGGAGGCCGAGACAGGCGGATCATGAGGTCAGGAGATCGAGACCATCCTGGCTAACACGGTGAAACCCCGTCTCTACTAAAAAAATACAAAAAACTAGCCGGGCGAGGTGGCGGGCGCCTGTAGTCCCAGCTACTCAGGAGGCTGAGGCAGGAGAATGGCGTAAACCCGGGAGGCGGAGCTTGCAGTGAGCTGAGACCCGGCCACTGCACTCCAGCCTGGGCGAAAAGGCGAGACTCCATCTCAAAAAAAAATAATAATAATATGAAGGCTATCTCTCATTAGATACGATATATATAAAATACCTACCACAGTGCCTGGTACATAATAGGCATTAATGCTGGGTGTTCCAAGTTGAGTTAGATTGATTTCAACTGAATTGAATTACACTTGCATATTCTTCTGGCTAGAATTTTCCAGTTAATAGTTTCTGTTTTAAACTTGTGTGACAGAACAATAGAGCATGCTGGGCATGGTGGCTCACGCCTGTAATCCCAGCACTTTGGGAGACATGAGGCGGGTGGATCACCTGAGGTCAGGAGTTCAGCCTAGCCAACATGGTGAAACCCTGTCTCTACTAAAACTACAGCAATTAGCCAGGCGTGGTGGTGGGTGCCTGCAGTCTCAGCTACTCCAGCTACTCGGGAAGCTGAGGGAGGAGAATTGCTGGAACCCAGGAGGCGGAGGTTGCAGTGAGCCGAGATCCTGCCGTTGCACTCCAGCCTGGGCCTAGGACAGCGAGACTCCGTCTCAAAACAAACAAACAAAGAATAGAGCACACAAGTAGCCAAATTTAATAGTGTTTACACCAAAAATGAGTGCAAAACAGGGAATGCACAGCAAAACTACAATATCCTTATTACCACATTTTCTTTTTTTTCAATCAATGTTGACCAGGTTGGCCTCGAACATGTAGCCTCGCCTCCCCGAGTGCCAGAGCAACCGGCCTGAGCCACTGCGGCTCCTATTACCACATTTTCTAACATAAAATTTAAGGTTTGCAAAATACTGTGTGAGGAGTCCCTTTTGATGTACCCGTCTAGCATGTGTGGTGATATCCCTTTATGTTTCTGGCCTCAGGGAAGAAGACTAACACCATGTCACAGATTAAGCACTTCAAAGCAGACTCACTGTAGACAAGATATTCGGGGGAGTGCGTTTCATCTAAAAATATGTTAACTTAGTACTCAAGTAGTCAGTTAACAGCTTCTGAAAGATTTATGCACAAAAACGTTCATCATCACCCCATTAGCTATATAAAAAATATAAGGTACAAAATGACCAAACAATAGGAGATGGACTGTATTATATGTCCATAAAATAGTAAAGTATGCAGTTATTAAAAATAATGTTGATGACACTGTCAACAAGGACAACTCGTATGTTATCATTTTAATGAAGAAAAAAGCAACAGTCAAATTTGTAAATATAGTTTCACACAACTATACTTAAAAATCTACAGAGACAAAAAGATTGGAGGGAAATAAACTAAAATTGTTACCAGAGAGTGATAAGCCATAACTTTTTCCTCCACTTTACAATTATCAGTGTTTTCCAGTACTTTCACAATGTACATATTACTTTTCTAGTCAGAAAATTATTAACCAAAATTAAATTTCATAATAGGTATTCCCATCCGAACAACCTTGGACAACTCAACAACTGTTCAATATGCAGGCCTTCTTCATCACCTGACAATGAAAGCCAAAAGCACAGTTCGTGATATTGATCCTCAGAACGACCTGACTTTTCTTAGGATCAGATCAAAGAAACATGAAATCATGGTAGCTCCAGGTAATTTGGCATTTCATTTCCTAGTTAAATCATCTTTCTACTTTGCTAGATAAAAAGCCTTGTTTCTATGAATGGGAAGTATAGATTTTAGTATGCAATATAAAACATAATATTCTTCTATTACAAAATGATGTTTGAATGTAAAAATCCCAACCTAAAAATTCTATGAAATTAGCAACTAATATGACCCCATGACTGTAGAACAGGTTGAATTTTGCCCACTTGCATTTATTATTAGTAATGGAAAAATTTAGGAAATGTAGATCTCATTTTCAGCAAGCTTAGCATACAGACTCTGCAGAATGGGAGAAATGTTCCCTGTCCTGCAGATAAAGTAGGCAGTGAACCCAAGGCCTGTAGGTTCTTAAACCCTCCCTATGAGGAAAGTACATCTCCCAGGTCTACCAGAAGAGCAGCCACAGAAACACTCCTTTCCCTGAAGGAATTAGGTTCACAATGTTACAAAATGACTGTACCATGGGACCTATGCCACTAAACTAATCTAGAACAAACCTCTATAGTAAATCCATCAAATCAGAATTGCCTATAAACTAAATGAAGTTTTTTTCTACACCAGTGTCCTCACCCTGGCAACACATTAAATCACTTGGAGGACTTTTAAAAATTTTTTCCAGGCCGGGCGCGGTGGCTCAAGCCTGTAATCCCAGCACTTTGGGAGGCCGAGGCGGGTGGATCACGAGGTCAGGAGATCGAGAACATCCTGGCTAACATGGTGAAACCCCGTCTCTACTAAGAAATACAAAAAACTAGCCGGGCGTGGTGGCGGGCGCCTGTAGTCCCAGCTACTCGGAGGCTGAGGCAGGAGAATGGCGTGAACCCAGGAGGCAGAGCTTGCAGTGAGCCGAGATCGCGCCACTGCACCCCAGCCTGGGCGACACAGCGAGACTCCGTCTCAAAAAAAAAAAAAAAAAAAATTTTTTCCATTCCTGCAACTCCACCCCAAACCAATGAAATCAGAATCTCTGAGGCCCTAGGAAATGGGTATTTTCTAAAGGCTCAACAGGTGATTCTGATGTGCAGCCAGGGTGGGAAACCATCTGTCTACACAAGGTCCATGTGATGTTTTGAAGAGAACAGCAGTCTAGTTGAAATATTCCTTGATTAAATTTAAATTAAGGGTGAATTGATTTTGTCCATCTCTCCATAGATAAGGAATATCTTCTGATCGTCATTCAGAATCCATGTGAATAGACCTGCGATGGCCAAGGCTGTCTAAGCGACACTGGGTTAGAAACACTTGGCTCTCTCGTGATTATTAAAATTCTATTTCAATCTAACTGACCCTTCAAACATTCTTTTCTATTTCTACATCTAAACTGTTCTGCATGTCTCATTTAGTCCCTTTTGATTATATTGTGAAGTTGTACTTTAGTGATACAATAAATGAATTCTGGTATATACGTCTCTGTTGTCTTACAATACACAAAACCAAGGATTCTAATAAGACAGCGCTCCTTGTGACAATTCTTTTAGTCTAGAAGTAGCTGTCACCAAGTACAGAAGTAGAATTTCACCCATTTCTGTGGTAGACCAAGGAGATTCAGTAGAGCATTGTGGGAGCTATACGGAGAATAGAAAGTCCCAGTACTCAAAGAGTATTCAATGGTTTCCCAGGTTAAATAAGGACAGCAGGGAGTCAGAAGCATGGTTGCCACTGGGGCCAGTGCCAACCTAAGAAGCTCCTCCATCCCTCGTACTTGTACTTCTAGCACACCAGTCTGAGGGGGCCAGGAATCAGTCTTAGGCAAGGTTTCATACATATAAGGCTGAGTATATAACTCCAGAGGGTTTGATTTTTACTGGATGTTGCAAACATTCAGAAAATCATGAAAATAATAACAACAAATCTAACAGATTTCTATGCACCCCAAACCCACAAAGAAGAGATGTTAACATTTTGCCACATTTGCTTTATATCCTCTTTTTTTCCAACTAAACTTTGCATTTTGAGATAACTTTTGAGATGAAGTTTCATGTGAAATTTTTAGAAATAATACAGTGATTCTGTGTGCCCTTTATACAGTTTCCCCCTGTAGCAACATCCTCCAAAACCCTAGGACAGTATCACAACCAGGAAATTGATAGTGACTCAGTCAAGACACAGAATATTTGCATCCCTGGCAGGATTCCTCAGATGCCCTTTGGTAGCACCTCCCTCCAACCCTTGACCCCTGACAGCCACTAGGCTGTCCTCCATTGATATAATTTTTTAATATCAAAAATGTTATGTAGGCCAGGCACGGTGGCTCCCACCTGTAATCTCAGCATTTTGGGAGGCCGAGGCAAGCAGATCACCTGAGGTCAGGAGTTCGAGACCAGCCTGGCCAACATGGTGAAACCCCATCTCAACTAAAAGTACAAAAACTAGCCAGGCATGGTGGCACATGCCTGTAATCCCAGCTACTCGGGAGGCTGAGGCAGGAGAATCATTTGAACCTGGGAGGTGGAGGTTGCAGTGAGCCAAGATTGCACCACTTCACTCCAGCCTGAGCTACAGCAGAGTTAGACTCTGTCTAAAGAAAAAAAAAAAAAAAGTAAGCGGAATAAATACAATATGTAACCTTTAGGGATTGACTTTTTCCCTCTGCATCATTCTCTTGAGATTCATCCAAAAAATAAGAAATGAAACATTACAGCTACAGCTGAAGCCTGCTCCTCCTCCTTGGGCCTCTGTCCTCCTTCCCCAGAAGATTCTTGTCAGGAGGCACAGGTTACCCAACGCAAGCGTCCGCAGGTACTTTCACCTAAGTTCCTGCCACAGCTCCACATGAAGCCAAGTGTGAGAATGATGCCTGGTAAGTTTATTAGTGCAGCCACACCACTGGCCCCAATTTGCACCCTGTGAGACTATCATAGCCAACCCTGACAGATGGTGGTATCAGCAGAAAGGAAGAGCCACACCAAATCCCTAAGGTTAAAGGGATTTACTCTCCCAAGTGGTGATGGGAGAGGAGACAGGTCATGGATGAAACTCACCCAAGGCTGAGGGAGACAAGGGGGACTGAAGCCAAACAGCCAAATCTTTGCATGCAACAGATGTCGGAGCCCCACTGCATAACTCAGTACTCCTGGGAGCAGGGCCTGCACATGTCAGTTTTGCAAATGTTCTCCAGGTAGTTGCAATGCAGCTGCAGGCTGAGACATGCTGAGTCGTGGTCAGGAATGAAGGTTTTAGAGTCATTGGCCCTAGATTCTTCAAATTCTGGCTCTGCTGCTTGTCAACATTAGGAGCCTCATCGCCTCATTTATAAAACAGGGTGATAAGAAAACCTAACCGAGGCTTGTTTATGAGAATCAGGTGAGCTGATACAGATATAATGCCTAGCACACAGTGAATATTCAACAAATACTTGCTTTTGCCGACATTGTTGCCACCACTCAAAAATGGCTCTTATTTGGGTAGTGAGGAGGAGTAGCCCAAGACACATACAAATGAGTTTTAGGGACAACTCTGCACATCATCAAGCCACACAATTATAAGGAGGTTGCTGACTCTGTCTGCAGAGAGAACAGAGCAAATAAGGAAATGAGCCCAAAGTATAACAGGAGTGTGTCCGCCTTAACCTGTGGGATGAATAAACCCAGAAGGATTGTAGGATAGGGAAGCTACGCCATGGCACATAGCTGACTTTGGGGCCACTTTCCCACACTTTTTATTTTAAAAGACTTCAGACTTATGGAAGATTAGAAAGAATAGCACAAGGAACAGCATACAAGCTTCACCTACATTCAACAACTGTTAATATTTTATGATATTTGTTTCATCTCTATAAGTACCTATTATAGATATAGATATATATGCACACACACATAGCATATAAAAGCTGCATATACTATAATAGCAGGTATTTCTCCAAAATTAAAGAATCCTCTTAATAACCACCACACCAGTTTCATACTTAAGAAATTTAATACTAATGCAATAATATCACATAATATGCAATCATATTCAAACTGGCACAGTGGTCCCAATAATATTCTTTATAGCTTTGTAAAAAAATCTAAGGGCCTATCAAGGATCACATGCTGCATTTGGTTGTCGTGTCTCTTTCATTTTTTAGCTGTTCTTAGAAACTTATTCTCCACTTCGCAACCTCTAGGTGGTATCCAATTTGTATTTGCTCTCCCTAGAGACCCCAGTGCCACCTGCCCCCCATTCCCCACAAGCCCCTCTGATTGGGCCCAGACACAGTCTGTAATGACAGGAAATGAAGCTGCAGAGCAGGTCTTCAACACAGGTGAGTGACTGCCTCCATCTCAACCTCTTCCTTCAGCCTAGTGAAGCCTGAGTAACATGGTACTCACTCAGCCCTGGACAGCTTCAGCATCTGCTAACAGTTTGCAACACAAACAAGGTCTTGCTAGAATCTAAATGACAAGAAAATACACTAGTGAAGGGGAATCCATTCTTTTTAGAGTCTCAAATTTTCACACCTAGAAAGAACCTTAGAGATCATCTATCCGACCCTTTGGCTTTACAGGTGGGGATTTCACCTGAGCCTGGTGTCAGGTGTCTTTAAGACATCAGGTATGTGAACTTGTATTGGTCTGGCTGTGCCTATCGAACTGGCACTTATGACATTATCAGGGGCTCATGCCCTTGTGAGATCCCTCCATACCATCCCCAAAAATTGTTTTTAGGAGGCACAGAATAGCTCATTTTAAAGTGTACCAGAGGTAACATTTGATTCTAATACCCAAATCTGTCTTCTTCCCATAGTTTCCTGCCCACCCAGAGCTTGTCATCAAATGCATGGCTGAGTGGTAAAGCCACTTCCTTCCTCCTGACACGGCCAGAAACTTCAAGCCCTATTTGCAACATAGCAGTGTGAAATCTCTGGCAGGTGCAGATGGCACGGCTGCAAGTGCCAGAACTCTATGTGGGCCTTAAGGGGAGGAAGACACTTCCATCCCACTGGGCAGGAAACTCACAGTAGTTGCATTTACAGTCCTGCCTGTATCTTTGCATCCAGAGGAAACTGTGAGGCTTTGTTGGGGCAGAGACTGTGGCAGCAAAAGGAAGAATTTGCCAGAGCCAGTTACAACAAAGGAGGATGTGATCTCGGGAAGTTTGCACCACACCTCTCTCCATTCTGGCACCTACAATCTGATATTCCTTCTTGGATTCATAACAGCATAGTTAATGACCTATATCTAAAAGATGGCTGGACCTATAGACTGAAGATTCACACCCATCCAAAACCATCAGCAAAGCTTTCAGTTCCTAGGGGAAATGAAAACCTGGGCTCATACAGTGCTCCCTCTTAGTCTTAACTTGCTATAAATTTTACCTGAACAATAGAAGAGCTATTTGCAGAGTCTCTGGAGGAACATATTCCAACCACAAATATTAATGATAATGAACCTGAAAAGACCAGCTTAATAAAATAGCTGAAAATGAATTTACACATCATTAGCATTATGAGCTCCCAAATCTTCATCTCTGAACGGCTGGACTATCCGAGTAGAGGATGGATGGGAACCCGCCTAGGTTTCCAGAGCAGTGCCTCCAGCAGACCCTCTGACTGGGTATGTTCTGGCTTTTGAAATACGTTACCTATTCTCTCCTAAAGCCAGAATTACTACAGACTAAAGGTGGACATTTTGTCTCCCCTCTTGGTCTTTGAAAAATTAGAATTATCTCCAATTTGTGTTTGATATGGGGCAAAATATTTCCACTCTTTTGATGTTAGAAAACAATGTAATGTCCTTGAAATGGAAACTATCACATGTGTAGGTGAATTGCGTATAGATATTCATTCAACCAATATTTTGTCTTATATTCTTTGTTGAAGAAAAAGACAAGAAAGGCCGGATGCAGTGTCTCATGCCTGTAATCCCAGCACTTTGGGAGGCTGAGGCAGATGGATCACCTGAGGTCAGGAGTTACCAGCCCTGCCAACATGGTGAAACCCCGTCTCTACTAAAAATACAAAAATTAGCTGAGTGTGGTGGCAGGCACCTATAATCCCAGCTACTCGGGAGGCTAAGGCACGAGAATCGCTTGAACCCAGGAGGCAGAGGTTGCAGTGAACCATTGCACTCCAGCCTGGGCAACAAGAGCGAAACTCTGTCTCAAAACAAAACAAACAAACAAAAAGACAGGAAAACATGGATCATATGTGGGGGCATAACAGCTTTCAGAGAGGTATAACATCTTCAACGAGGGACTTACAAAGATAAGTTGGTCTCTCAAATCCTGAGAATCATGGGGCTAGATGACTCCTGTAATACAAAAACATCTCTAATAATGGAAACTCAGGCATTCCCTGACAGTTTGGACTACATAAGGTTCATAAATCTTTTCTGGTACATTTCTTATGCAAGATTTGACATAGAGGGTTAGCCATGCACCCAACCATTCCTTGAACCCATAGAAGATAACACTGAATCTTC